GCCCAGGAGTTGGAGGTTGCTGTGAGCGTGATGCCATGGCACTCTACCCAAGGGGATAGCTTGAGGCTCCGTCTCAAAAAAAAAAAAAAAAAAAAACCCTGTTCCCATCAGTCCTTCCTGAGTGATATGGTAGAGACAAGCTTCACATAACAAGAAATGAATAGCCAGGCATTGTGGCAGGCACCTGTAATCCCAGCTACTCGGGAGGCTGAGGCAGGAGCCTCACACACTTAAGCCTAAGAGTTTGAGGTTGCTGTGAGCTATGACACAACAGCACTCTCCCGGGGGCACCAAAGTGACAATCTGTCTCAAAAAAAAAAAAATAATAATAATAAATAAATAACTGGAGAAGTTACAGAACAAAATATGTGAGCATTATTTCTACCCATAGAATCAAAACTAAACACTGGGAGTTATGGGGAGAGAACAATGTGTAATAACTTCCTATCTGACAATGGAGACATAATGAAACTATTACAAAACAAGAGGGGGAGAACAGAAAGAGAATGTGGAAATCGGCACCTTGTACATATAAATGGACCAAGCCGACTGTCACAACTGCACATTTAATATGACCATAAAGCCTTCAGCATTTCATGAAACATAACATTTACTTAAAAAATAAACTCCAATGTTGGAAAATGAGCTTTCCAAATTCAGAAAGGTCTGGGGCTACCATGGGTTACCAGGCCTGAGGCTGGCTGTGGCCCTCCATGTCATGGGCTGCCTCTGCCTCACCTCACCTCACTTTCCCTCATCTCTTCCTCTCCTGCTCTCCCAGCCCCGGGAGCATGGTGGGGGAGGGGGGTATGTGTGTCTGTCTGTCTTTCCTTTCAAGCTCCTCCCTCCCCCATCAACAATCAATCAGTTATTTTAACTGAACAGAACTAGAAGTGAAACATATGCCACACTGGTTTGAGCTTCTGATAACCTGTCCAAGGGACACAGCACCTCTCCTGATATTGATACCTGTCAACTGTTAAAGCCTGGGAGGTCTCAGGAAAGCCCAGGTAGGTTTTCGAGGTAGCATTCTGCCCAACCAGCAACACAAAAACAATACCCCTGGAAACCAGAAAGGTAAGCACTGTAGTCTTACTTTGTGGGGGCTGTCCTCAAAGTGCTGCAGGAGAGGAATCTAAAGGGCGCCCAGTCTGCACAGCTCTGCTTCCCTGTCCATGTTTAGTGAACACTACTTAGCGTCCCTTCAAAGTGGTGAAGTCTGAATATTTCTCACTCAATATGAAAAAGTGTTTTTTAACTTGAGTGAGCTCTTATTTTTGAGTTTTTGATAAAACAAACAAAAAAAGCCCCCAAACTTCCTTGTTGCATAATCTAGCAAATTTACCTTTTCTTTTGCTAATCCCAAAATATACTGTTGTATTTCTTAACCCATTCTCTTATAATCTGGAAAAATATTTGACTAAAATAAAATGTATAAAATAATTCTTATGAGTATTCTGCACTGCTTACTAGGGCTCTGCAAAGCTAACATACCCATTTGGGTCAAATACCACCTAAGATCTGTAAATTCCCACTGTTTTCAAAAAGCAGTGGTTTTAGATACTTATTTGTATCTAAAAATTCTGAGCAACTTGCAATGGCTGTAGATTCACTTCAGGCTTAAATGCTCTCTCAGGCATTCCTCAAATTTGTAAAATCTGTGTAATGGAACATTTGATTCCAACTCTCTCCTGACCATACTTGGTGTCTGGCACATGGCAGTGTATAGTCAATACAAATTGAAACAATTAACAAGCAATCAGTTCCATGAACATTGATCACTTGTGTTTATGAATCAGTTATCCAAAATATTATGCACATCAACACAGTTGATTTTTTTAAGAATCAAGATAAGATCATATTTCTTTCAATGATTTCCTTAATAATAGTTACACCTATGGTTTGTTGAATGCTGAATAATTACAATGGGCACCTATCATAAATTATCTATAGATTGGGTACAGTGCCTCACACAGTAATCCTAGCACTTTGGGAGGCTGAGTCAGGAGAATCGCTTGAGGCCAGGAGTTCAAGACCAGCCTGAACAACATAGCAAGACCCCATCTCAAAAAAAACAAGAAAAAGAAAAAGAAGAAATTAGCCAGGGGGTGGTGTGTGCCTATAGTCCCAACTACAGGATGTTTGAGGTTGTAGTGAGCAACAATGATGCTACTGCATCTAACATGGGCAACAGAGTGAGTTGCTGTCTCAAACACAGAAACAATAAACAGCAAAAACCAATAACTCTAAACTTACAAAAAGTGGCAAACACCCTGTGAAAACTGCACTACTATTCCCATCTAGGGTGATGCTCAGCACTAGAGTGCACGCCAAGTGGTGTGGCTGAAAGCTGCGCCCAGATGTGTAGTGCCCACGAATTCCCCTTTTACATCACGACATCCTACTTCCCACGCCCGGCTTCCAGGCCTCTGCCGCTCTAATTTCTCACTTGTTCTCCACCCAGCTCCTCTCTTCCACTCCTGTTCTCCCTGCCTTGGGACTCCTTTCCTTGTTTTAATCATTAAGGCCAATCCTGCAAAGCTCCATTACTCAGATAACATTTCAAGCACAGTAGAGTGCACAGAGCACTGTTTTCCATGTGGTCCAAAGGGCACAGCACTAGTACGTCCTGGGAAGTGGTCACACAGAGCCTTGGGCCCCAGCCCAGACCTCTCCTATCAGACCCCCGGGGATTTACGTGCAGGGGAGCTTAGAAGCAATGTCTTAGAACAAGGTGTAGATTCCTGGTAGTCCCTCCTCCTTTTTCTGCTCACGAGTCTCACAGACAACACTCCCCATCATCACTAAATGAAGACAGGGAGGAGGAAAGCATCTCGGATGGTGAGGTGGACATTTGTAGTACGTTGAATCCCACCCATTTTCCTTTATTCTACTGCCTGTAATAGGCAAATACAAAATTCTAGTTACCCAAGTAGATTTCACTACACACTTGGCCACTCTAACTTGATAACTTTCCATTCAGTAATACCAGACTACAGTAGCCACTCCACAAAACTTCCGTTTCTTAAACATTCAGACAAAACAAAATGCCTCTGATGATTTTTATCTAAACTACCCTTCCAACCTCTACTTTGCTGACTCATTTCCATTGTCCAGAAAGAACAAACAAATGTTTCCTTCAATTAATTGCCGTGTCTTTTCTCTCCTGGGACTCTCTGAATCTCCCCGAGGCTCTCTGAATCTCTCTGGAAGTCCCTAGGGTAACCCTAGAGGAAGCCAGCCTGACAACTGGATCAACATCACAGTAGTCACAGGTGACACCAATGTCAGCACAGAGATACTGTTTCATGGAAAGGAAATTCTAAATTAAAACGAGCTCTATAAGGATTGTTAGGAAGGAAAAGCTTTAAGCAAGCAGGACCTATGACAGTACTGCTCGTAAGTGAAAAATTTCTAGGATTAAAAAAAGTTTGTAATTTCCAAGATTCCTTGGAGAGAAACTTCATTCCAGATCCATACAACAACACTTATTATTGCCTACTAAGTGATAACACAATGCTGGGCGGGTGGGATGCAAAGATAGTGATTAAGACAAGGTTTCTCTTTTCAAGAAGCTGGCAGTTCAGGAGGCATTCAGGGACACTAGCAGTGTTACCACGTGCACTGGATAGAGCTCAGGGCAGGGGCTTCTAGTCAAAGTAGAAGGGAAAAGGTCTGCAGTGAACTCTGAGAAAGTCTGTGGGGAGATGGAGAGAAGAAACTACATGCGAGACATAATGGAGAAGCAGCAGCACTGTGGGAGCGTCAGAGCCCTGCCTGGCTGTGCAGGGAGGGCATGCAGTGCTGCAGACATGGGCTGCAGACCTGGCCTAGCAGACTGGGAAGAGCAAGAGTATATGCTCCATCAGATGGGTGCTAGTTTTTAAAAGTGACACAATCAAATATATTTTTGTGGGGGTGGATGAAGGAAGAATTCGGGAAAACTCTAGGTGTGAACAAGGATAGTTCACACAATTTGTAATCACTGTCATATGCTGCAGCATTTGGTGACAAGTGACAGTAGGAGGTATTAACAGAATAAACAGAAAATAAAAATATAAAAAGGGCTCTCAGCTTGGTATACAGCTGCTTGTAATAAGGCAGCTATAGTGTGGCAGGTCTCTGTCCTTGGCTCACTTGAAGTTACTTGGCAAGTAGATAGAACACTCCAAACTCACTGTCAATCATATCAGTGATTCATTAAAACATATATACACATTTGCAAGAAACAGATGTAACATTCCATCCAGAATATAAGGAAAAAAGGCGGGATTGCTGATGGAATTCTCTATATAGAATAAATTTAGAATAAATTCTAAATATAAACACAAGGCATTGGGGGCAAATATAAAAGATTTCCTCAGTGAATGAGAGCTGAAAAGCATTATGTTTCTAAAGGCACAACCGCCAATGTGCAGGTTCTCAACACCAAGCCAGGTCCTCATGAGTGGGGACTCAGTGAGGAGGTGCCTGCCTGCCTGGGATGCCCCGGGGTGAGCATGACAGTACCCACACCTTGGCCCCGGTGAAGCTGCCTCTCAGCCAAGCAGTCCACACAGGGTACTTCCAAGTTTGTTTCTGAAAAAGTTATAACTTATAACTTATAACTTACAAGGTGATTGCTGATGTTTTTCATTTTTTCTACAACACTCTTCATAGTCTTCAAGACTGGTAAATAAATACTAACCTACAAAAGCAATGAGAAAAATCACAAGTATTAAAAATAACAATGCATTCAAGTAATGACAGGTGCTCTGTAACTAATTTTGGAATGGATGCATGCTCAAAAACTCTGAAATTCCATTTTTATATTTTCTGAATGTTCTTTAAAAATGTAAAAAGAACACCAAATTTATAATTTCATTAACTCATGGGTGTTCAAGCAAATTAAAGAATGGAATGTCTGCCTCTAGTACCTCAGCGACCACATCCCTGTGGGCATTCTGGTTCCAGATGGATGACAGCACTTGAGCTGAGATGCCGCTATGGGAGTGTACAGGGAATAAAACCCTAGCACTGGCTCGGCGCCTATAGCTCAACCGGCTAAGGCGCCAGCCACGTACACCTAAGGTGGCGGGTTCGGATCCCCAGCCCGGACCTGCCAAACAACAATGACGGCTGCAACCAAAAAATAGCCGGGCGTTGTGGCGGGCGCCTGTGGTCCCAGCTACTTGGGAGGTGGAGGCAGGAGACTCGCTTGAGCCCAGGAGTTGGAGGTTGCTGTGAGCTGTAATGCCATGGCACTCTACCCAGGGGGAAAGCTTGAGGCTCTGTCTCAAAAAAAAAAAACCCTAGCACTCAGAGGACGCCTTCCTCTAAGGGTTGTTTACACCCAGAGCTCTGTGCAAAACACAGCTTGCAGCCACTGCATCGCACCTGAGACTGTTACTCACAGTGCTTGTAAAACGCTGGGTGTTTCCAAATCAGTGTAAATATCTTCTGGTAAATTCAAATAAATATTTTACCCAGTATATTTTTGTAATTTCTTCTTAAATAAATTGTGAGCAGGAGGCAAAGGGCCCTTTGGCATCACCTTTATTTTCAGGGACTGTAGGGTTCCTATGAGTATCAGCAGGACTGTTAACCCAAGCTCTAGGTCATGAGGCTCCTCTTTCTTGGCCCTCTTACACACATAGGGATGGCATGCCTGACAGGCCAAAAAAAGGATTAAGTCCTGTGAAACCCAAGTTGGTACCTAACACCAATAATATGAATAAATACTAATTGTCCTCCAAAGTATTACTTCAGTTTTAAGTGATGTTATTAAGCATGACATTTTCCTACAGAAAATGTATAGTATTCTATTTTCCTTACAGAAAATGTATAGTATAGTATTTTTAATCATGTACAAGATATTTTAAGATGTTTTACCTAAATAACAAAAGGCATATATTCTAACTTTTTCCTTGAGTATCCTTTAAAATGAGTATCTCTCTCTTCTCAGGCACTATATAACTTTCAAATCAAATACACTGTAAGTCTACCACTACAACTAGAGAATTCAAATCACAACTTCCAAAGGAGTGCGATCAACAACAAGGATCGTAGGTATCACTTACATCAGGGTGTGGGACCACAGGTTCTTGTAAGTCCTTCCACAATTTTCTAGGAATAACTTTTATGGGGATGTCATGTGTCACAATGCGGCTACTGCTAGACACAGATAACTGCCAAGAAAAGAAATTTAAAAATATTTTTATGTTGTCACTATTAAACAACAACATCTGTAATCCTAGCACTCTGGGAGGCCAATGCAGGTGGATTGCCTGAGCTCACAGGTTCAAGATCAGCCTGAGCAAGAGACCCCCATCTCTAAAGATAGCCAGGAGATAGGGCTGGCACCTGTAGTCCCAGCTACTCGGGAGGCTGAGGCAAGAGAATTGCTTAAGCCTAAGAGTTGAAGGTTGCTGTGAGCTATAATGCCATAGCACTCTATCGGGGCAAAAAAGCAAAGACTCTGTCTCAAAGCAATTCAAGTGGAATGTTTTCAATTCATTCACTCAAAATCCACTGAACCACATTGATGATATACCTGTTCTGCTGTGGGCACAGCTCTGAAGGGAGCTGAGGAGTGTGGTGAATGAGACAAAAAGGTACCCAAGGTTTCAGAGGAATAAATGGATCAATATGAAAACAAATGAAATTCCATGGAAACACTCAATAGAACCTTGAGAAAGCACAGCAGAGTAACCAGGTTGAGTGGAGGGGAACACTCTTTAGACTGAAAGGTAAAGGGACAGCCCTATGTAAGGTGGTGTTTCAGGTGTCACCAAAACAAGGAGAGGCAGCAGCCATGGGAAGATGGGATCAAGGGAAACAGCACACACAAAGCCATGAAGCAGGTTTGCTTCAAGGAAGCAACTCAGAGAAGACCATCCTTTGCTCTGTGGACACTCAGGATACTGCAGTTTCTATATGGCTAGAAGACAAACTAAAGTAGAACCTCCATAGCTGATGACCTCCCTACATTAGGTCAACCTCAAGTTTTCCTAATTCTCATAGACCACACATGCACCACATATATGTGTCAATACAGTAGGGCTAGCTCCTTATGGTGACCACAGGACAGATATGTTTATTATATAACCAGTTTGTTACAGTCCCTTGAGTGGTTAACTTACGGAGGTTGTACTGTATGTACTTATCTATTCCTAGGAGTGTCTATGAATCTCATAGACCACAGTATGTTGTACTTCAGACAGAAAAGTATTTTAGGTTACGATCATGCTTTTTTTTAAGCAGTTGAAGAAATACACCAAACTTACCTTATGACATAACTGCCTGCCTGCAAAGAGTTAAGAAAAAGTTTTGAAGAAAAGTTGAGGGATCCTCTTCCATAGAAAGCTTGAAACTGAATATCGTACTCCCCTATAGATGGGGACAGTACATACAACATATAAAGGATTGCTGAAAGGATAATGGAAGGTCAGGGTGGAGGTGGCACTGGTACCCAGCACTGAAGGAGACAAGGCTTCAGAGAGTGAGAAGAGAGAGACTGTGAGTAGAAGCCCCAATGCACCAATGCCTGGCAGCTGGGACACACCCAGAGAACCACTCAGAGGGTACGGTAGTAGTTTGCAATTGGGCTCCAGAATGTGTTGTGAAGAACTCTGGTCATCTTAGGAAGTATGAACTGCATTCTGTGAGTAGTGAAAGCCACTCTGGGGTGTGTGTGTGTATATGTGTATAGGACAGCTGTGCACTAAATTCGTCTGGCAGTAGCATGTAAGACAGGTGAGTGATTAAAGGAAAGCTGTCACTTAAAGGTATTACAGCAGATGGGGGCATCAAAGGGAACATGAATAAACAAAAATGCCCAAAGAACAGAGGACAAAAAAGTTGAAATACCAAATCTAAGTAGAGTGTTCTCAGCTCATTCACTCAAAATTCATTTAACAATGATGATACACCTGTCCTGCTCTGAGGAGAGCTGAGGAGTGCGGAGAACAAGACAATACCACTAAGAGATGCCAGGTGTTTTACTGCTTAGAAAAGGCAGCATCCTCTAAAGGAAAAAAAAATTTTTTTAATGTTTAAATAAAAAACAAGTTATGTACCTGATCTTTAATTTCAAATAGAATCAAATGGTTTCCATCAGTATTGTTAAAAAAAAAATGCCTAGGCTTAATTACTTCCAGTCCTTTGAAGCCAAGACCCTTGTGGAAAATCTCAGAAACCCTGTCCTTCCTACTTACCAGATCTACAGACACTGTCAGACAGGGAAAGTGTTTATTAGTCAGCTTGATTTTCAAGGCTCTGGCATTCTGGGCAGTTTTCAAGGCTCGAGATAAGTTTTCCGATGTTAGCTCTACATAAATCTCATTGTTTTCTGCGGAGACACCCTCCATTTGAAACTCACTGAAGAAATTCTCCTAAGGGAACCAAGTAGGGGGAGGAGAGAAAAGAGGGCATTTGTGGCCATTCCAGGGAATTCAGTGGAGTGTGTAGGCCTGTAGGGAACTCCAGCTCACCTGTTCCAGCTCACACCACATGCTCACCCCTCCGCTGGTCAGCTTGTCTGAAAGGATGAAGTTCAGCTTGTCAGGGCTGATGCGGAGGGTGCAGGTTTTGGCAAGTTTTGCTATCATGTTACTGACTCCTAAAGCACAGGGTAAAGTAAGAAGTTACTAAAATGTACATAAGGTATCTTAGAGGCCAACTTATCTTGTAGAATTTCCAGTTCATTACGGTGCTACCCGCCGGTGGAAAAAGAGCTGTTTAAGTAGGTATCACACTGGAAAGTACTTTTCACACTGCTGATGTCGTGCCAGTCTCCCAACCACCCTGGGAGGTGTGCAGCATTCACCATCCGTGCTCCAGTAAGGAGTCAGGCCATTTATTCATTCAACACAAACTTTATGTCGGGTAGCGCAGCACAGAGTTCAACGCCAAGGTTAGGCATAGTCGGCGCGGAAGGACCCTGGGGCCCAGATGAAGGAATGTCAATGCCAGGCATTGCACTGGCCAGTTTAAAAACAAAACAAAACAAGACAGCAACAAAGAAGCCAGCCTTTCGGAATCCAGTTTGAGAACCATCCCTCAGAACCCACCCTCAACCTCGCAGGTGCCCTCCGCCCCACCCACCCACCCGGGCCCGTCCTCGCGCCGGGCCCCCGGCGCGCGCGCCCTGCCTCTTCCGTCGCCCCGCGCTCCCCGGCCGCCTCCCCGCTCACGTGTGAAATGGTTCAGACAGGCCCCGTCCACGATCTTGCCCCGAAACTTCATAGCCGGCCCGGGCCCCGCCGCAGCCCTGTCAGCCGGAGATACACGGTGTCCCGTCCTGAGGGTCCCCCCCCGGAAACGCGGCAGCGCGCACAGTGGTTCCGCCCGGCCCCGGGTCAGCGGCTTTACCCGGAGTCCGCCCGGGGACACGCCGGGGGCCGTTGGGTTTCCTGTCACCATCCGGCAGGTGGAATCCCCCACGTCCCAGTCCGGCCTCCTCTCCGGTGAAGGCGGGGTCTGCGTCCAGTTAGGGGGCGGAACCGTCAGCCTCTAGGTTGGGGAAGTGGTCCTGAGGATTCATGTTTTGAAAGAACTCTGTGACACCTATTTCAAGTTCTGTTTTAAAACATCCAGATAAAAGCAATTGTTTGTAAAGGACTAATCAAAGTTATCTCTTAACTAGACCTCTAAGCGCAGATGATGGTATCCCGTACCTGGGCAGAGTAGCATCTTGATTTAGGTTTCAAGATTGTTTTACATGGTTTTTAAATTTGAGGAAAATAATGCTTGCTGATGAGGATGCCTAAAGAACATTGACCTTAGGAGATAATGTCGCACCTCGTATTAACGTAAAAAGGCTTTAAATTTTTAAAAAAGAAATGTTAAAGGGGGAAAAACACCAGCAACTGTATCTAACTTGGTTTTTTAAAACTAAAGATTACCTATGTTAAAATTATTATTTTTAGTAAGCCTAAAACCTTGCCTTTAACTCGAAATATAGAAACAAGCTATTAATAGTGATAATGCAGACTTTCCAAAAAGCGCAAAATACAAAAATTGCAGACAGTTTTTGCCTATTTTAAGACTATAACATGAAGCTAATTTAGTCTACACTGTTACGTGCAATTGCTCGCCAAATCAAATGTGATATGTTACTTTCAAATATATGCCAACAAAACAACCTTTTCACTACTTTATAATGAAATTTTAAGAATTCAGCATCACTTATTAAACAAGTTCGGTTCTATGTAGGTCATGAATATAATTAAAGAAGATATCTAACTAACCTGTGTAAACAATGTTTCATAACATGATCTTTACTGCAAATTGGTCATAAAATTTGATGAAACTGTTTTTTAAACTTTCAAAGAAGTGTTATTATACATTCTACATTGACGAAAGCCCAAATAATGTAGAAATTTGACCCAAGAAAAATAAAATTGAGTTGTAATTATCTTTCTTTCTGGAAAAAAGATAGTCTTTTATGAGCTCTTGCAGTTTTCTTTAAGTAGGTTTAGCGTATTAATTCAGGAACCTCTGAATAGATAGTAAATATATTCACACTACTTTCCTCTTTTCTTCCCAAATGATTTCGAGGTGAGGAATGAGATCGCTAGAGATCTCTGGTTGCCCCATGCACCAATGATTTCTAATTCAATGTATATTCATGCAGCTCTCATCTAGCTAGTTAATAGCTTTCTGATTTAAAAACAGCCAAACCTCAGGGATTGGTAATTCAGTCATACAATGATCTGGGGAACCGTATTGATGCCGTTCATTATGTTTGTTTATTGGGGAGGGAAATGCCTTAATCTTGTCTTAGAAACTGAAATACAATAACATTGGTACACATAAAACGTCAGTCAGGATGTAGGGTTGGCAGTAAGGAAACTAAACTCTTCATAGCTGCAAAGACAGTCAATTCTGCCTAAGTAGGAATCACAGATTTCCTAGTTGTTAAGCAACTGCATTTGGCTGCGTCTTTCAGGATCTTGCTCATTTCCTTTAGTCCCTGAAGGAAGAAATGACTATTTGTAGCCCTGCTGTCAGCCATTAATGTCAGAAAAACTACCCAAGGGCAAAGAAACTGGCACAGCTCAGAGGTTCTGCATCAAATCTGAAAGACAGTATTTGTCTTCTTTTTTTTTTAGCATGAAAAACTATAAAATGAGGGAAAGCATACTCTAGGGTAGCATGAGGGGATGTCTTTTGAGAATCGTACTCATATTAAGGGCTGGGGTTTTGCCTAAGCAGCTCTTTAGAAACTCATCTTTTAGATGTCGAAAAAAAAATACTTCAATAAATTCCATAAATAATTTTTAATCGATATGTGTGGAGCTCGTGAGAGTGTCAGGCCTGGTGGTGAGGGATGGGATTTGAGGAAGGGGACCACCCACACCCACCCAGAAGGAGGGAGAGCGCCATTTGTTGTTTCATGGAACAAGCCCTGTGTACACACTGACAATGAGTGAGGGAGATAGCTCTTGTTTCATAGCACTGTACTCTGACATCACTTTGGTAACATAAACATACCAAAGATAATGTGTTATTTTTCCCATTTTAAAGAGGTGGTGTTAAGGCCTAAATTATCACCACTGAGAGTCCATACTCACACATGGAAGAAGCAAGTTTATTCTTATCAGGCATATGCTCGGGTCACTCCCAAGAGAAAAGCAGAAACAGTGGGGAGTGGCCCCTAAACAAAGGCCAGGGAAACTTTTATACACTTTCTCGCAAGGTACTATGGGTTGCAACAAAATGCTGAAGAAGATAGCTGAGGAAGAAGCTAGTGTCTGGTCACTCATTGGTCACTAGGGAGGTCTTGGGGTTCTGATAGGCCAACTGCCTCTCTGTGGTTGGGGTCTTAGCTGGGGTGGAGGTGTGTGAACTTTTGATTGGTTGCTGCCACCTGGGCTGTATACCTGATTTGATTTATGACCTTGGAGCTTCCTGCAGCTCTTGCCTCTTCCCCCCTCTCCTCCATGTCTTCCTTCTTCCCCAGCTCTTTTATCTTTTTCTATTTTTGCCACTACCACTACTATTTAAAGGCAAAGCAAGGAAAATAGTAATAATAAAAAAAATAGGTTCATAGCTGCTCCCTCTCATTCCCCCCTTGAGCTAGATCATGTCTGAGCCCTATCCTGGGCTCAGGGCTGGGGAGAAGTGTCTTGACTTATTTGTCGATACTGGAATTTTAAAACCAATGCCTGGACCATGTCTATTCTTTCTTTGATAAAAGAGATTAATCTGTTTAGAATGCCAGGTCCTATAATCATTAATAGCAGGAGTAGGGTTACTGGCCCAATTATTGCAGATATTAGGGTTGTTAACCAAGGGGACCAATTAAAGAGGGACTCATACTAACTCTGTGACTGTTCTTGCTCTAGTCTACGTTTTTGTAGTCTGTTTCTCACTAATGCCATTGATTCTTTGACTATTCTTGAATGGTTAACATAAAAACAGCATTCTTCCTTTAAAGCAGCACATGGTCCACCTTGTTGTAAGAACAACAAGTCTAACCCTCTTCTATTCTGAAGCACTACTTCAGCTAGGGAGGTCAAAGATTCCTAGAGATGTGAGATAGCTTTTTCCATCTTTTCTAAGTCCAGGTCTATAGCTTCACTTAAAGCTTTGTACTTATGGTCTTGAAAAACAAGAGCTGACACTCCTGCCCCCACACCAGCAAGACTTAGGATTGCAGTGAGGGTGATGGCTGTGACAGGCTCTCTTTTGACTTGGGAGAATTTTGTTTCTAGAATTATAGTCTCCTTTTCATGATAGGTAAGCTTGGGGATTGATTGTACTAATACACAGAGATCTCGAGTTAAATTTAAAACTTGGGTGTGTAAGCAGGGGGTCAATCCAGTTGTACATGCCCACAACCCATAGCTGGGTGGGATGAGGTATCTTGTCCCATTCTAGTGGTGGACTTTATCACATAAGCGTTTGTGAGAAGGGGTCATTTTCCCAACACAAGTTCCTTGTCCTGTAGCAGATTGTAAAGTGAGATGGGGCCCAGTGCACTGCTGCCAGCGGCAAGCTGTTGACTCAGTTACTAGAGTAAAATTATCTGGAAGGGCTATTCCTTCATAATAAGGTGGCTTTGCATCTAAACATAGCCAACAGGATTCAGTGAGGTCGGGCCTAGACTTATTTAGCACTTGGTAGGTTTTTAGTGAGGATATCCGAGAGCAGGGGCTCAGAGTCAGCTGTTTTTAAATCTGTAGTGTCATTATTACTTAAATCCAATTGCCAGATAGGGTTTGGTTCCACTACTATTGGCTTTTCAGTATGAATTTCATATACTACTTTTAGGGTGAAAATACTTCCTTTGGCTTTTCCTCTGGGGGAGCATATTCGTTTGCCCCATTGTTTTCCAAGTTCCCACCCTTGTGCAGCCATACCTTTAGTGGTGAAGGTTATGCTTATTGGGTCACACCAGGGAGATCCTTTTTGATGGCAAGGGGGGGGGGTTTCTTTCTTTTTTTCACCTGTATGTAATCCCCCTGTTTTGGGACCTCCCACCAGATCTCTCTGGTAGATACACATTCCCACATCCCACAGAAATAAGCTTCCTCTACAAATGTCCTGGACATATGTAGAAACAGTCTGGGTAAGGGTAAGTATCTACAAGTTTATCTATGTCTACTAAAAGTGCAGGGAACCATGTGCCTCGTGGGTGGATGCCTGAGGTCTGATTAGCAATGGTTCCTGTAAGGGCATTTATGATCACCCAAGTTACATTTAAGGGTTGGTGCAAATCAGGGTATGATGTACACACAGGTAGTAGCAGTAGCATTAACAGGGTGCTGGCAAAGAGTGCCTCAGCTTTAACTTTAAGGGATTGTTCTCATCCCGACGAGCCTCCCCTTGTGAAGTGAAGTCTCCCTTGTCTGTGGCAGGATCTGCAAGCTTGATGTGCGTATCATGCACCCAGGAGGCGATGCCGTCCACTTTGAGAGCGTTGGGGGTTGTTAGGATTACAACATAGGATCCTTTCCACCGGGGCTCAAGTGTTTCTTGACGGTGTCTTTTCACATATACTCAGTCTCCAGGTTGGAACCTGTGAGGTTCAGGAACTGGGCCAGCTGTGTAAGTGGCCTGAAGAAGGTTCCAGTTTTCTTTTTGCACCTGCTGATAGCATCAAAGGGAAAGATGGAAATTTTTATCATTTATACTTGTTATCACATTGTTATGAATATTAGGAATAATAGGAGGGGGTCTTCCATAAAGGATTTCATAGAAAGTAGGGCCTAGGGTGTAGGGGAGTTTCTAACCCTATATAGAGTGAAGGGGAGGAGAAATATCCAGTCTGCGCCAGTCTCAAAAATGAGTTTGGACAAAATTTCTTTCAGGGTTCGGTTCATTCTTTCTACCTGTC